TAGTAGTAGGAGTATAGTAGTAGTAGTAGTAGTAGTACTCACTCACTCACGATCGCCATATCGTCCAAGTCGATACGTTGCGGGGACAGGCCTCAAGCCCGGTGAATCGGGTTCGCGCCATTGTTTAACGGCTCCACTGGACAGCAAATCTTTGAAATAAAAAGCACAAAGCAAAGCTCTCACTTCTGGAAGAGTGTGGCCACACGGAAAAATATGAACATGCAGCTGATCCATCTCTTCAAGATCTATCACCAGCTTCGAGTCCTGTACAGGCTTTACAGGCTGCACTGACGATGCCGCTCTCGCCTCACATGGCCCTCTATGCTCAGAAGGCATTGACGAAACTGGAGTCGGCAGTGGATGTCTGGAGCTCCAGCGAGAAGCCCTTGCTGATACTCGATCACCAGCCTCATCCAGAGTGGCACGTCCACCGCCATCCTCTCCACCAGCAGCTTCCCCAGCATCAGTCATTGCCACGGGAGTAGGCCAAGCAGTGTTCCAGGCCGTGGGTACTACCAATGCCCCAGCTCCAGCTACCGAAGTCGCCGTGGTTGCCGATGGGACCGCCGCTCCAGTAGCCCCTGTGGTCCCTGCAGGATAGGTAACGCCACGTCTGTTTTGACAGCGCACCGAGTGTAGGGTGCCCCCAGAGTCCGCGCAATAGGAGCAGCAGTATAGGTAGGTACCCGTAGTAACCCTAGCACACCCTGATGTACAACAAGGGAAAAAGCGGTTCCCAACTGCAGCTGGTGCCTCATGAACACTTGCCCGATCACGACGCTGCACATCACGGCAACGTCCCGAATGCCTTGCCCCAAAGGTCCTCTTGCATTCTGCGCAGCAATGTCGATGGCCATTCTCGCGAAAGCTGACATGACATCCCCTAGTCTGGCAGATTCGACGAACTGCAGTTTGCTGTGCAGTCGCATTCATCATTTCCAGCGATAAGGCCGAAGCGCAGGCACTGGATGCAGCAGACATGGGAGGCCTCAGCACACTGCTCATTGCACACTATACAGGCAAGGGAGGGTGGGTGGGGGAAGCCGAAGCAGCTCAGTGCAACTTTTCTCGGTGAGCGCTCGACCGGATCCCCTGTGGTCGGACGTTGCTGTTGCGGAATTTCACAAAAGCGGGCTAGCCAGTGGCTTCCGGCAGTGCATGGCAGAGGGAATTACTGTGGGGGCCCTAGATCAAGGAGGGTCAACCAAGAAAGAGGAGCCTAAGTGGTCCGGAGGCCGAGCAAGGGAGAACGAAGCCAAGCTCTTTGGCCTGTGTTTGCAGGGCAGCCGGTGCACTTGCATAGCCTGACACACAGTAAGCAATCAGCATAAGTCGATTCCCACCAGTCCATTGACATGTGGAGTGCAGGGCAGTCTTTCCCGGAAAGACTATGCCCTGCGCACTGGTAGGGTGGACCTCTCCTGCATACAGAGTGTCACCGACTTCGACAAAGTCACATCCTTGTGGATGTGCAATCCAGAGACCTCCAGCATCATGATGACTGAGCCCCAAGGCAAGGCTATCACCCAACCAATTTCCCATGTCAGTATGCGGCTGGCACAGGTTATCCAGGGTAATAGTAAGGCTGCTCCACCGTAGGCCCGGGCAAACAGCCAAAACAAGCTGATTGATCAGCCTGCAGACATTAGGATGTCCTCCTGTTTGGCGGGTAAGGCCATGTGTACCCCTCTTCGCCATAAGCCCCAACGTGCAGATGAAGCCTTTGGAGAACTTTCGAGTGTCCCTGTCAAAGGGAAGCTTCGGCACGACAGACCGCACAGAGGCCCAGATAGAGCCACTGCCTTCCACCAGATAATGCCAGGCAAGCTGCTCAGCCTCTGTAGCCTTCGGACTAAGCGAGCCAACCGGCTTGGGAAAGTCAATCACCACATCGCAGTTGAGGTGCCTGTCGAGAGTCGCCGCATATTGCACCATGACCTCATAAGACGCCGGCTCCAGATGCTTGGACGCAAGCTCCAGGATATCGTTCCGGCTAAACATTGTGATCACCGGTGGACATTGGTGACCCACATAGACACCACACAGGGTCCGATATGCCTGGAGTAGCAGAGACTCCTCCAGTGCAACCATTGTAGACATGGCGGGGGAGAGGAACCTGCATGCCGTCCTGGGGGGCTACGCTGCCTAAAAAGAGCCAGGCTGCACAGCACCGTTATGCTCGGCTCTCGGTGTCACAGAGTGACTGAACACACGTAGGCTGAGTGGCTGGCCGGCACAAGGATCAGGGATCCGGCACGTATGCCCTAGCAATCCCAAGAGGCAGAGGCTCCGCACGCCTCAACCTCTGGCTTGAAGAGAGAGAAGCTGCTGTACGCACAGACAACTGTACAGCGGGACACAGGAATGCTTGCATGGAGGAGAGCAACAAAAACATGCAATTGCAGAAACGCGTGACCACGGGCTGTTTGCACGGCTGAGGCCGACAGCTCATAGTCGTGGCTGCTCGTCGGCAGCAGGGCTTGCATCAAACACTCATCGGTGTTTAGCGGCAGTGGAGTTCATCCCCACGTACCAGGCCAATTAAATACGCATTGTGTAAAATGTCGTTGAGCTCCGCCGAGGCGGCACGTTTCGGCACAATGCCATCATTACAGACATAGAACTGCCATTCACCTGCAAGATCATGTGTGCTAGGCATGCTTAGAGCAGCTTGATAGTGACCCCCATGCGGCGAAATCCCATGATGGCATATGACAAAAGCTACTCGAAACTGGCGGGACAACAGTTCCAGACTGTCTGGGACAGCAAACCCAGGTGCCTCCCCCGGCTTTACATGCACTGGTGCAGAGTTCTTGGTTGGCACACCACCAGGACTAGAGTAACGCTTAAGCTGCAGAAGTACAAGCCCCGAATGTGATTCCAGCGCATGCACAGCTGGCTGGGAGGACCAAGCATCAATCAAATCTTGCATGGTGTCCCCTCGCACATCGAGCAAAATCGGGGCATTGAGTGGACCCCCATCCTCTACAGTGAGAGGGTTGCTGGTACGGGATTGCCATGCACCATGGTATGCTCGAGGCGCTGCACACTGGAGGAGGTGTTGCATGAATTCCCCTACATCGTTTTGTGTGCGAAGCGTTGGCCAGGCTCTAAGCACGGGGCTCCAGGGTAAGCAACCGGGCAAATAGGTCCTGCCTACTTTGCCTAAGGTCCTAGCAGCCGCCTGCAGTCTACCACAGCACGCTTGCAAATCAGCCGTCAGGTGCCCCATCCAGGCAAATGCCTGAGCGCTTGCATTGAAGTAGCAGACCGTGTGTGGATTTTGCAGCTTCGCAGGCAACAGATGCGACGGTGAGGCAAAATGACTGGTTCTAAGCCGGACTTGCAAGCAATGAGCCCCCGGCCCTACTTCTCCATGGCATCCGCGGTTGGCAGCGACTGCTGCTGTGTCCACGGGGCCGGCCGTCGGGTCCAGTCCGTATAGGGGACCGTCAGATAGGCCTCGGTCAGCTCCTTGGCCATCTGGGACTGCTGCGCTCTTTCTGGGCGCAGCCGAAGCCCAAGCATCTTCAAGGCGCCGCTGTATGCCAGGATTGACAAAGCTTCGTGGCATTCGTGGGATGCCGAGGTCCGAAGGCTGATGGAGAGCATGAACGGAACCACATCTGCCTGCGTCTCCTGACCCAGCTTGTGCGTCGAGCGGAACCTCAGGAGGACTGTGGGGAGGCTGCAGCCCTTTTCCAAAACATCCAGGCACTTCAGGAGACGGTCCTGGGTCAGGGGTGGCCTTTCCGCGACCACCTGGCGTTGTGTGGTGGCGTCCCATCGAAAATAATGCCAGGCCGGCAGGAGAGCATTGATGCCGTCCTCTAGCCACCCCAAGCGAAGAAGACGATCCTTGAGCTCGTCGTCCGTTTGGACTTGTTCCACGGCTTCGCGGAGACGCTTCACCAGCCCGCAGAAGAGGATCACGCGGAGTGAAGTGGTCACCTTCTTCTCCACAAAGGCCTCTTGCCACTTCAGAGCTGCCTCTCTCAGAGACTGCAATGTGTTCGTCTCCGTCACGCTGTCCACGAAGAGCATGAAATTGCAGTCTGCTCTGAGCCGGCTCACGTCCTCGTCCAGTCGCAGCGTTGTCTTTACAAGAGTGCGAAGGAGGTGACGAGTGGCATTGTCCATCGGCTGGTCCTGTGGAGCTTGCTCCCATGTCTTCCAGCCTCCGCCGCCCCAAGACTGTCCTTTCCCCTGACGTCCTTTGTAGGCCGGCTTGTTCCACTTGTCCGGGCGATCCGGCTCTCGGTCCTCCTCCGGCGGCCTCTTGTTTGGCTCCTGTTCCGACTGCCCCGGCTTTGGGAGCGGAGTGGTCCCCCCCCAAACATCCCTCATCTCCTGGAGGGCCACTGCCCGTGATTTGTCCTCTCCCTCTGGCTCCATCTTCCTGGGCAAGGCAGAGATAAGCAAGAGCAGCCTGGAAGGCAACTGGACAGCGTTTAACGTGTGTGCGCGGGTCCTGAAAGGTCCCGTTGCAGTAGGCACAAGGAGAGGCAGCTACGGAACCAGCTGATGAGCACAGGCTGTTGGCATCGTCTTTGAATTTCCACTCCGTTGCGTGGGACAACCGAAGATGCTGCTTAGTGCCCGGTCCCTTGAGCGAGACCCATTGATTGCAAAGTACACAGTGATTTTGCATCTTGCTCAAAAAGTCTGGATCCGAGAGAACCGAGCGCCACCCCAGGCGGAGCTTATCACGAAAAAGCAGGTTTTGCAGGAGCGGCTGATTAGTAGCCTCCGGCACTTCTGCGGTTCCCGGCAATGGAGCAGGTGGGGCCCGACACGCATGCCCAAGCGGCCCTTCGCAATCCCCGGCTCCGCACGCCGGCGATTGCTTGGCTTCATTCAACTGATCAGACTCTGGAACCTGCTCCATCGGCCGAGAATGCAAAACAGGACAAGACCCCTTCAGGTGTTTCTTAAGGGCCTCCACGCGGGTAAATCGACGGTCACAGTGAAGGCATTGTGGCATGCCATCTTTAGAGTGCTCAGCATGGTTGAGGCGAACAGTGGAGGAGACATCTTCTTGGGGAGCTTCATGCATCTTAGTACGATGTGTCTTCATGGTGCGCATACAGGTAAAGTACACTCCACATACCGTACAAGCAACACCTTCGGTGGGCAGACAGAGCCGCAACCGTCCATGCTCCGCAGGCCGATCGACTTCATCGGTCACGTGCATGCAGGTTTGGATCCAGCTGCTGAACTTCTGAAGATGCTGAACAAAGGTGGTATCCTGACAAGCAGCTTCCCTGCGCTTCATTGTAGCAACAAGATCCTGAAGCGGACTCTGAATCTTTAACCTCTGCCTCAGCGAAATATTGCTCTCATGTGTCAAGTGAACAGGCGATCTAGCTATTGAGCGCACATGACGAGAGTCAGCAGCTTCCAGCTTTCGCAGCGACCCCTCGTTCAGTCCAACGGCGTAAAGCCCAAACAAAAGAGAACTTCGAACGCAAGAGACATAGAGGCTGATGCGGCGACGCACGTGCAGTTGTCGACTGTGAAGAAGCTTGTTGAGTCGGGATCTATTGGCAGAGGCCGCCTTTAGCCGGTGTTGGAGTGTTTGTTGTTCGAATCCTTTGTAAGATGCCACCACCCCTAAGTACACGAACTGATCAGCCACTGGAATGCAAAGGGAGGCTCCTGGGGTTCCTACTTCCAGGCACTTCCTACCAGCCCTCGCAACCAGGTGTGTACGGATCCATTTCTTAGCCTGTGCACCTCGTACCCCCAGCACCAGTGTTGATTTGTCGGAATTAACCAACATCTTACATTCACGCAAGAGCTGGAAAGTGGCCCGCAGGGATTTGCAGAAGAACGCTAAGTCCGCAAGCTTGCTCGATTTCCCACGCCAAATGGGTGTCGTCTGCGAAGCATGTAACCAAATGTTCCACCCAGCTAGGGGATGTGCGGACCTCGAGCTCTGCCAGAAACCACGCGGTGAACAGGCTGTACAGGAGTGGGGATACCGCACAACCTTGGCGAACACCTGTCCCTATCGGCACTTGTGTGGTGTTTTGTAGATGGCTGATCTCATACTTGCAGGCTTCGTGGATTTCAATGAGTATCCTTTGGAGAGAGGCATCCACTCCCGCATGTTGCAGGGAACGCAAAAGCACATCCCGAGCAAGGGTGTCAAAGGCACGACTCATGTCGATTCCGACCATGATTCCCCCATAGCACTTGCTGGGAACTCGACCCGCCCTACGCGCGTGTACACTAAGGACCCCATCACTCAATCTCGTGCGCACACGACCGCAGTGTCCTATAACCCTAAATATAGCCTGGTCGATGCCTTTGACATCACAATATGCGAATTGCGGAGTGCATTGTAGCAGGTGCGCTACCTGCGGGACCAGCATGTCTTTCAGGGTCTTAGCAATGAGTTTAGAGGCCGGGTCCTGTATTCCTATAGGTCGAAGGTCCTTAGGCTGACGCATAGCCTCTCCCGGCTTGGGAAGCAGGGCTAAACTACAGTGCGTTATTTCTTCAGGCAATTGGGATGGGCAGGAGCGCACCCCTTCAGAGTAGGCTTCGGCGAGTCGGCAAACAAAGGGCTGTGCACAAGCCTTCCAGACTTCCGGGGGAACGCTATTAACCGGTACCGCTTTGCGAGACTTAAGACTAAGAACCGCCGGGACAAGCATTTCAGCCGTGATACCGGGTGCGGGTGCAGAGGTACTAAACCGAAAGGGTTCAGGGGCTTGGAAGGCTTGCTGGAAGTAACTTGCGATGGCCTGGAATTGCCCGTGGCACCATCTGCGGCACGAATCCTGACCCGTTCTCTACGCTGTCTAGGGGCAATGGCCTGGTGATATTGTAGATCTCATTCATCTGATCTCTAGCTGCAGCCGAGGCCGCCCTATCAATGATAGCGTAGATACGTTCTTTTCTAGCGAGCACACTTTGTTTACGAAGTTTACGACTGGCAGCCTTGAACTCCGCAAATTGTCTCCAGGCCTTAAACAGACCCCCTCTGAGTGCTCTACGGCTTCTTCCCTTCCTCCAGTTCTTATAGGCACTCCACATTTGCGCAATGGCTCCGTCAACAGCTGGAGCATGCAGGCTACGATTGGTTCGAGAAT